TTGTGTAGCTCCTTCTCGACTGAAATACTTTCGTAGACCCATATTAAAAACGATTTAGTCGGTGTAATGGCTAGAAACACCTCCGGTCACTTTGAACACGAATCGAAGAGCACCAGTGTATGATGATGACCGAGCAACGTTCCACAGAAGTTGATGTGTACGTGCTGCCATGGTATGTGTTGACCATGGTACCCAATTCTTCGACATTGGATTCCGCTTGTGCAGGCACGCTTCGCAGTTCTTAGCCGTTCAACCGATGTCTTCATCTAGGCCTGGTCACCAACACATTTTTTCGCACCAAAGAATTCATCTGTACCCCTAAATGGTCTGTGTGCAAATCATCCAACACTACCTTGCATAGTAAAGGTGAGATGATCAGCCAGCCGTTGCGATATAATACGCCATCAGGTTCTACACTGACTTCTTTCCGGTAGAAATCTCCGCTTCAGGTCTGGGTGCCAACCTCTCGATAAGGCTGTTATGTCCGTGTGGCACCGCTTGGTGAATTTGCGCAACTCCTCCCGCGATACCGGAGCTCCTGGTGCAACGAAAAGCACTTTGTGGATGCCGTAAATCAGGATCATCAAGAGGGATAATCATCTTGAAGAATCGTTTTGCCTGAACGGAACACTATATCGTAACTATAGGCAACCAGTGCAATGTTTCATCGCTGAATCATCGCCATTGTCGTTTTGGAAATCAACTTATGTGGACTGAGTAGGTATTTGGTGATCGATAAAAATGGTGAAATGCAATCCAAACAGGTGTTTGTGCAGGCATCGGACAGCCGAACCAATGTTTCCTTCAGAGTCTAGAATATCGCTGTCCTGCCGTGTTTTGCAAGCGAGAGATGCAGACAATCGGACATCCTTCCTGTTCAAGTACGGCACCAATGCCAACATCTGACCCGTCCATAATCAACGTTCGGTGTTTCGCCGAAGAAAAGGGGGCAATTACTGGTCACTCCGTCATTATCTGGATGATTTCACACTTGGCTGTCCACTTTCACCCTGCTGCCGACTGGGCCTTCGTGGCGAAGTTCGGGATGAAACTTGAGTAGTATTGGAGACATCCCATGATCTATTTCAGTTGGTGCTGGTCTTCGGTGATTCAAGTTCATTCAAGATATCAGGATCAGGACTGTAGACTTTCGAATCAACTGTGAAACCGAAACATTCCAATTCTGGATAACTAAACATGAATTTGAGGACCCGATCGACTCATTCTTTCCATTTTGAGACATTATTTTGAGCAAAACGATCAAATAATTTGAGAAGTCTGTCATCGTGTTCAGCCTGCTTTGTACCAAACACAGTAACATCGTCCAGATACGCCAACACACCTTCGAGTTTAACACATGACTTCGTCAATGGCTGCCTGGAATATGCCTGATTAAGTATGCAGACCGAACGACAATAAGTTGTATTGATACAGTCCCCGCGTTTTGTTGATGGTAGTGAATTGCCAGAACTAGAGGAATTGTAAGCCATGCGTCTGCCAAGTCAATTTTTAAAAAGCATGTGGTGCCATACAACGCTTTCATCAAATCTTCCGGTTCCAGGTTGGAGGTGGCACGCTTTCATCAAATCTTCCGGTTCCAGATTGGTGGTGGCACGCTTTCTCAACCGACGATTTATGGTCAGCCGATAGTCACCGCAAATTCGTGGTGTTTTACCGTCCCTTTTGATGGCTACCACAATTGTTGTCCACGCGCTTGACGAGTGAAGATACCAACACACTCCATTTTCTTGATGTCATTCAACACACCTTCACGTTGACCATATGGGATCATACGTCGTTTCATGAAGATTAGCTCACCGTCAACTTCCAATTTAATCGGTTGAACCTTCATGCCTCCAGCATTGTTGGAACATTTTCCTGATAGACTGCACCATCAGTGAAATGTCACCCATCAACCGCAGATTTTGTCCCGTCACACCGAGGATTTGCACAGACGTTGGACGGATTTTGGTTTCGGGACAAATCAATGATAATAATTCAGTAGAAGTGTGTCCACAATTATTTTTGTGCTTCACGCCAGACTGCAGTGTCACATCTTTGTATAAGAATTGTGCACACTGACTTTGAGTCCGTAAGGAAAGCACAAGGCATGTGTCCTTATGGGTTGATTGGCTGTTTGCGTACCCTCCGGACATGGCCAGTTTTTCCACACGGATGGCACTTGGCATTACTGAATCGACAAGTGGAGTGCGAGTGGTAAGCTCCACATGATAAGCAGGGGTTGATATGTTTCTCGTTATCGTAAGGGTCATGTTGTGGCTTCGATGAGTGTTTGGCCATTGGAGGTCGGATTGGTTTCTGTTTCTGTTGTTGGAAAAAAGTGACCGATTCACTGGAGGTTGCTTGTGTTAGGTCATCACGTTCCTCAGGGAATGCCAGCTTCTTGAGCAGGGAATAGAGCTCACGGCCGCCAGCAGTGAGAAACAGAGCTGATTGGATCTGAGGACCACCTTTACGAATACTGCACCACAGCTCAAACAGCTCTACTCATTCCTCGATCTCGGATGAACTGGCATGCACGTTCAGTTTTTCAGTAGTTGGTAGCTCCATCGCGTGACGTTAATTTGTAATGATTTAAATTTGCACAGATCACGGATTACGAATCATGCATGAGGAATTACGGACGCCAAAGAAGCACTGAGTCACACTAGTACTTGCACGACAGCATCCTACGCAACCGAGACGCAATGAAAATACCACAAGAGAAGTAGTTCGTTCAGTGGAAGAAATCCAGGGGCGGGGGTGGGGGTAAATAAGATGTACCAAAGAAGTTTATTGGTTATCCAGGTATCTACAGATCACGTGCTCATATTCTTGGTGTCGTACAGCGTCTGTCTGGGCCGCACGGCTTCTGATTCGTCTGTTCAATCGTCCCACGGTTCGTTGTCCAGAAGCTGTAACATGTTGCTTCGTGGTTTGCGTCACCCCATAAGCTAAGATAACCACAACTCTGCTTCCTCAAAAGAGCCCCGACGATTTGGCTTGCTCTTTTGCTTGGTCTTTACCACGCCAGTGGGGTGTTCTCGGCGGTAGATGATTCTCTGTACCTGGTATCGTCGTATCACCGGACGAGCTTTCTGGCATCTCTTGCGTGGAATCCTCAATCGAACTAGGAGTCTCATTGAAATGGATTTGGTCGACATGTCGTCAATGAACTGGCGCATCTATCAGGTCTGTGATCTCCAACATAGTTTGTTCAACGGTGACGATTCCTTCTGCTGGTCTCCAGCAAAGCTATGCATTTGAATTGGCGATTCATATACCAAATGTTTGCAAATGATCACACAGTAATGTTGCATACAGACTGTCTTTGAATGATTGAAGCAGTACCACCCTAATCATAGAAATTGGGAATGAGTATGCCTAATTCATTTATAACGATTGGACATTGAAATTCGTTGGTGGTCACTTGCAGCTATGAGTTCATTTTCTTTGTGTATGGACTACAACCTGTGTGCTTTAATGCTGTGATCTGTTCGATTCCAGTGAAATATTCTTTTTGTTGTCCAGTAGAGATAGTGATTAATGGGAGAAGTGTTATTGATGTTACCATTGGTAGTAGCTCGCTTCCTATAGATAAAAGCAGTATATTCATACTGCCTCTGACAGCGATGCTTTCCTCGTTCCAGTCCCGGTCACTACACACCTGAACTCCACCAGCCATGCGTATTCCATGACAACGACTGACTACTCCATGTTCCTACAACACCAGCTGTTCGGATGTCCTATCTGTCAAATGCTAAGTTGATAGTGCGCAAATCTTCATGAACAGACGTATATTACTTTATGACGCACACGAGAAAATGGAGCAACGGAGCGATCCAAGGTGGTAGGCAACAACGATTGTGGTGACCATGAAGAGCAATGGCAAGAGGCCACGGATTTCAGGTGAAGCCACGCTTTGGTTGAGAAATGTGCAACTACTAAGTTGGAATTGGAGGACTTATTAGGAGAATAGTATGACAGAACTCGTGTTCCCCTAAGATAGACTCAGCGAATTTCCACCTCCGGGTTCCCTGGTCTCTGAGTGCACACTGTTCGCTATAATCAGCATGTTCCGAGTATTATACCAATGCAGTGCCCTGCCGATTGATTTCAGGTCCTGCTAAGCATATTTGAAGCAGCCATTAACATGAAGATCACTGAACTTGAGAGTGTGCTCGGTTTCAGATCAGTTTTTGCAACCATTAACCATGCACTTATGTGCACCGGTTTTGAATGCTGTCTGATGGCTTCCCATTTGGATGGAGTGAAGAAAATATCGGAATGTTCAAATCAGTGTCAGAGTAGAAAAAAAGAATTCACTGAGATGAAGTTTGCAATTATAATGAGTAGACGCATGAGAGCCACATTTTACGACACTCGGCAATATTAACCCGTGTCTCTAAACATTGCTTAAGCGGATCCCGACGTCCCCATCCAGTAAGCCTAACGCGGCCTACCTGAGCAAGTCTTCTGATCACTTTTCATACTGTCATGCCAGGTCTGAGTTTGACCACTCTTTACTATTTTCCACTCAACGTGCCTCAGCAAACAGCACGCACTGTGGTAACCTATATGGTGACATGCGCAGCGCATGCCCCAAACAAAGCAGCCTATAGAGGTCGATCACTTTTTTCAGTGGGCGACCGCGAATACTCAAAACTCTGCACCTAACCTCTGTAATGCTTTTCCAGTTCCCCACCAGATTGGTGAAATGCAACGCAGACAGCGGTGTTCAAACACAGCCAGATGTCACGACGGCGCCACTGATGTCCTAATTTGGCAAATGACAATCGTGTCTTCTGTATGCATACAGACGCTTCACCCGTGATGCATCCACCGAGTGAGATGTAGCAAGATTTTTCTACTTCCTCTATCACTTCGCCAGTGAGAGTGAGGTTGGGGGCTAGACCAACCTAGTCCTGTAACAACATTTTGCAATTTGAAGATGCAAAATGGATACCGAACCTGGCTACACTAGCACTCAAACTATCCAGAAAAGCTTGCAACTTACCGGGATATTCACTTAGTAGCACGATGTCATCTGCATACTTCGGATCAGACAGCCTACCACCTGGTAGCAAATCGATGCCGCTCTCATCGTGGTTTTTCAAGGATGACTTCTGCAAAGAAGTTGAACTGAAACGGAGGGAGAATAACCGTGACGAACACCACTTTCCGTGAGCTCGGGCGAAAATGTGCCGTCAGCTCAGACTGGGTTTTGGCTGTTAGTATAGAGAGGTCCCAAAATTGGAATAAAATTCTTAGGTACACCCTTCAGAGAAGCAGCGCCACAGTAAGCAGAGATCGGCTGAGTTGAAAGCCGCTTTTAGATCGCGGAGGACAAAAAAGTGGGTCTAGGGTAGGGGTTTCTATGTTTTAGAATTTGCGGAGGGTGGATCTGTGTAAGGTGAAACTACTTAATTGCCTCACTCACGCCTGTCTCATCGAGGCTGGTAATAAGACCCGTAAGACCCATAAGACCATAATAAGGCCCTAATAAGACGGAAAAGACTACTGGCGATAATCGCAGCCTTCTCCAACTCCCTACACTCCGATCAACCAACGAAAGTCATTTCTCATACCATCTGAGGACGAAGTAGGAGAGCAATTCAAATCAACCAGCTTCTTTTGAGGGGAAGGATGGTTGTGGTGATCCATAGCTACGAGGTAGGCTCTGGTATTTGAGGCTACGCATTACAGTTCCGTAGTAGCCAATAATAAGCTAGCATGCGAACCAATCCTGTTCACTGTGGCATTTTCAGTGATGTTATGAACGGAAGAACACCGAAGCTGAATGACTAAGACCTTTCCTTGTATTTTACTTAAATCGTTTCGTTTTTTTCAATCATGTATTCGTTCGGCTGCCCCATAATGTAACACCCGAAAAGCGAGATATATGTCAACAAAACAAACGACTCCAGGTAATCACACGGTTCCGTAGTCGACAAATTTAAGGTTCCATCAAAGCCTCAATTATCACTGAATCTAACAACTTCGTGATATATATATATCTATATATACACACACACATATATCTATATATACAATTGTGGAACTTTGCTTTTGTACACCTTCTTAATGCACTTAAACAAGCGGCATATTCAACCACCAAGTCATTCAAATGTGTTTTTATTGCATTGTTTGCGGTCTTGCATAAGGTGGATGTTTACTTTGTGCAAGAGATTATTTTCAGGAATGTGGATCATTCAATTTCATTCAGTTTTGAAAGTGAGGAGATGCAGCGGTAACTTCACAGCGTTTTGGATCAACTGCATTTCAGAGACAAAACAAATTCAGATTATTTCGGAACATGAAGTTAGAACCAAATTAAACGATTCGAATGCGTTCAAGCCACCAGAGCGGGAAGACATTATTTCATGGTGTCTGAACGTGTAGATGCATAAAAATCGGGACAAGAGAAACGTTTTGTTCTTTTGTTGCCCGTGGTCGATTATGAGCATGAAATTCTGCTGCTGATAGTCAGTAATGCACATTTGCTGTTAGTTTATACGAGAATAATTCGTTGTTTTGATTGAAAGGTGTTTATTTCAGTCTTTCTGTTCTTCTTAGCGTCACCTATTTCCTCGTCCATTTTTTGGTTGATACGTCTCATTGAGTTGTACTGTTCTATCATGCAATTTGTTTCCCATTTCCCACCAGTACATTTTCCCGGGATCAGTACCGCTGATACGTTGTATGGGGTTTCAAATAAGTCATTATATTGATCGAAATTCTGTTTGGCCCAATAAAGTATGCGCGCAGGAAACAGACTGCTTGCGTTTCGCCACACAGGAAGCAGCACTGGTGACCATGTGCGGTCAGTGCATAATTAACAACTCTCATTTGTAACCAACATTTTTTGGATAGATTGCTATCAAATGATCAAATTTATGAATTGCGGACGCAACTTTACTCGTTGCATGCTGCGTAGTGCACTTGCTCGTTGAAGACCGGTTCATCTGATCATTGAATTCAATATTACGACTGATGGATTTTCAGCCCATTTGGCGCGTGATTTTTGACGTGATCGGAACGATAATATTAACACTCCAATTACTTCGTTCACTGGACGTAGGGTGACCCGCATACATATTTAGACCCAGTTACCTTTGCCAAACAGTGGACAAACAAAGTCACTGGACTTCCTACACGGTGACAATAACCTCAAAGAACTGTGCAGTGCATTGCGATAGAGATAGGTTTATAAAACAGGAGTAGATTGAAATACACGCTTACCGCATCAATATCCAAGAGTTCTTGGATTTTT